TGGAATTGTAACTATGAATCGGCCGTCATCCGTTCGCGAGGTCGTTTCTTGAAAATGTTTCTCACAGAACGCGTCAGATTTCGATAGCGAAATGGTACGTTCACCGACTCAACTTCCCAAAAACGCGTGAGTTGTTCGTGAAGTTTTGATGACTGTGCGCTTTGAACTAAATTGCACCGGACAGAAGGCACAGCGCTTGTTTGAACCGGACCCGAAACAATCCACCCGAACCTTGTATTTTGTATAACCTGTCCATCATCTAATTTGATTTGACCTATGCACAACAATTCCCAAAAGTAATCTGCGCCTAGCAACATATCAATACTATTTGGGTTATAAAACTCAGGATCAGCTAAGCGTAGGTGAGCAGGAATCTTTAACGAATTAACATCGATAGCGAACTGAGGCAAATTACTAGTAATTACTGGAAGGACAAGACACGTAACTTGAAGTGAAAAATTAGTACAATGCGAATGTATTTTTAGCAAACATGAACTAGAAATTGTAGATTTAGATTGAGTTATTCCCGTAACGCTGATATTTGTTTTTGTTTCAGGGAGATGCAACCTTTCGCGAAGATCTGTCGTTATGAAGCTACTTTGACTACCTGGATCTAGTAGTGCACGGAATGTGTGTTTTTTATTTCGCCGATCAAATGCATGTAAAGTGACAGTTGATAATAAAGTTTGTACAGTTGTTAATGAACTAGATGTGAGAGTTTGTAATTGTGTTGTTGGTGATTGTTGCGAATCTGAACGATTATATGTGATATGCAGAAGGGTGTGGTGTTTAGATTTACATTGTTTACATAGACCCGACCTACATTGATTAATAAAGTGACCCAATCGAAGACAATTCATACAAAGTTTCAATTTTTTTACTTGCTCTATACGTTTTTGTATGTTAAGTTGAAGAAATTCAGGGCAATGTTGAAGATTATGTTCGGCCTTGCACAAAACACATTTTATTGCATCTATCTGCCTTGAAACTACAAATGATCTAGCTTTAGTAGCTGACTGATGTTTAACTAACGATTTAGACGCCCCTTTATCTTCAAGTGATTCTAATAAATCAGCTCTACCTTTTAAGCAATCCAATAAATCGTCTAATGTGGGTTTATCAATCTGTATTTTTTGATGTTCCCATTCACGGTTTGATTCGAAATCCAATTTAGTGGAAACTAAATATACAATTAATGTGTCCCATTTATCGGTGGGTTCCTTTAATGTGTTTAATGCACGTAAATGTTTGCGAATGTTATCAATTAAAGTGCGTATTACATTCGAGTTAACGGAAGTAATTCTTTCAATTTTAAAAAGTGCCTTAATGTGATTTTGCACTAGTATTCGAGGGTTGTTATATCGACTGCAAACTAAATCCCACGCAACATCATAGTTTGTATTGGTAATTTCTAAACTCGCAATTACTTGTCGAGCTTCACCCGTTAAAGTTGATAACAAATAATGGAATTTTTGAACGTCATTCACGGCATGATTATTATGAATCAATGACTCGAAAATATCGTGAAATTCCAGCCATGATTCGCTATTTCCATTAAATTTAGGTAAATCAATTACCGGTAACTTTACGCATTGCTCCGGAGCAGGACTGACAGTGAGAGAAGAATTGCGAGAATTTTTGCTATTTGTTAATATACGTTTGGCTTCCGCAGTGCTTGCGTAAAAAGCCGTCTCAAAATTTTCTCGTTCTAACGCTTGCACCTCCCCGTCGGCGCTTACTAAATCAATGTTCTCCTGAATGATTTCGAAATCACTAATTAAATTAAGTGCACGATCGTACCGTTGTTCCAACTCAAAAACCCACGTCTGATCGAGACTACCCTTATCATCTAATTTCGATTTAGTAATAAATTTTGAAAAATTAGTTAGCTTGCCTTTGACAATGCCACGTTTTTTTATTAAAGTTTCTATTTCCGACATGATAATACGTAAAATGAACGCAACGCAATTGATTCAAATTTAAGCAAGGGAAAAGGAAATGGAAAAAAAGGATTATATGCTTACGACACGCTCAAACTTAAAGGGGGATGCTTCCGGCCCGTGGATAACGTGTCCCGACGAAGGTTCTTCCGAATTTCCTTTGAATTCCAGCTCACCAAATTTTTCCTGTTTGTGTTGCTTGGCAACCACGACTGATGATAATCTCAAAAACGACGATAATTAATTTAATCCGGCTCGAAGGACCATGTTGAATAATATAACGTATGTTATAGCGCTGGTTAACACTTCTTCGTAACGAATAACGATTTGTTGGCTTTTGTTGTAACGAATTATTTATTAATTATAACGAAGGTACAACACGACTCAAACGACGCTCTTACAAAAATCTTATTTATTAGTGACGCGCTTGTTGTCAACAACAACGAAAACAAAACAAAAACTTCTTATTGCTATGATTCTTGACAAATCGAAAAACTAATTTAAATACAAATAAAAAAAGCAAAAATGTGTATAAAAAAGATACAAATTACAACAATCTCTAAACTTCTATAATTTTTTATTTTAATCCTTATCTCTCCCGACTGATCGCTGCTGCCGTGATGTTTTTTAGCAGCAACCGTAGCGTTGCTTTATTTTTTATTAAGTAAATATAAACATGTCTGCGATAAAGGTTACCACCACCTCTATACCCTCTTAAGCTCCAACACCTCACTTCCCGCATGCTCGAACCCCCGATAGAATTTTTCCTTTTTATTTTTCGATTTAAGTCATCGTTAACGAGATATTTACCGTTTTATAACCTCCAAGCCAAACGCTTTGTGCCCGGATGTATCGTGGCCTCGATGTATCGATGCAGATCCAACACCCCTCACTCCGCACCTCACCCACCCGCACCCTGCTCCCCTATCGGCCCACACCCCAAATCCCACACCTAACTGGTACATGATTATCTAGATGACATCACCATCACCAAGTTCCACACGATCAAGCGGCATGATGTCATCAGCTTGATAACAAAATAAGGCCCTTTTAGTAGTTTTCACCTGCGTCATGTTGTTCGTGCTTGTCATAGGCGACAGGAGGTTGTAGGGGGTAATTTTTTGGTTGATTTTTCGATTTGAAGCATCGTTAACGAGATATTTACCGTTTTATAACCTCCAAGCCAAACGCTTTGTGCCCGGATGTATCGTGGCCTCGATGTATCGATGCAGATCCAACACCCCTCACTCCGCACCTCACCCACCCGCACCCTGCTCCCCTATCGGCCCACACCCCAAATCCCACACCTAACTGGTACATGATTATCTAGATGACATCACCATCACCAAGTTCCACACGATCAAGCGGCATGATGTCATCAGCTTGATAACAAAATAAGGCCCTTTTAGTAGTTTTCACCTGCGTCATGTTGTTCGTGCTTGTCATAGGCGACAGGAGGTTGTAGGGGGTAATTTTTTGGTTGATTTTTCGATTTGAAGCATCGTTAACGAGATATTTACCGTTTTATAACCTCCAAGCCAAACGCTTTGTGCCCGGATGTATCGTGGCCTCAATGTATCGATGAAGATCCAACACCCCTCACTCCGCACCTCACCCACCCACACCCTGCTCCCCTATCGGCCCACACCCGAAATCCCACACCTAACTGGTACATGATTGTCTAGATGACATCACCATCACCAAGTTCGACACGATCAGGCGGCATGACGTCATCAGCTCGATAAAAAAATAAGGCCCTTTTAGCAGTTTTCACCTGCGTCATGTTGTTCGTGCTTGTCATAGGCGACAGGAGATTGTAGGGGGTAATTTTTCGGTTTATTTTTCGATTTGAAGCATCGTTAACGAGATATTTACCGTTTTATAACCTCCAAGCCAAACGCTTTGTGCCCGGATGTATCCTGGCCTCGATGTATCGANATGTTGTTCGTGCTTGTCATAGGCGACAGGAGATTGTAGGGGGTAATTTTTCGGTTTATTTTTCGATTTGAAGCATCGTTAACGAGATATTTACCGTTTTATAACCTCCAAGCCAAACGCTTTGTGCCCGGATGTATCCTGGCCTCGATGTATCGACGATGCTGTCATCGTGATGAGGCTCGTCGATCTAGGTAGCCTCATTCAAATTCCCCACCTAAAAGAGGGTTCTTTGAGAATGGTATGCCCTGCCCGCTCGCACCCCGCATCCTAACATCCAGCCGGTAAGCCAAGCCAAATCCACTTTGGAAACCATACATCCGCTTTATGTCCGGATGATGTCAAGGCCTCGATGATGATGTCAAGGACTCGATGATGATGTCATCGTGGTAAGGCCCGTCAATCTAGATAGTCTCATTCAAATTTCCCGCCAAAAGAGGGTTCTTGGAGAATGCTGCGCTCTGATTGGTTGAATTTAAAATGTGGGCGTGGCCACACCCTCGAAAGGTGGTAGTGGTGGGGATGAAAAGTACTTTTCGACCCCAATGTTAAATCTCATGGGATTTTGGTCCAGAACGCACATAGCTATACTACTTAACAATACAATTTAATAATAATAATCAATCACCTCAAAACAAAAAGCATAGTTATTTATTTCCAAATAATCTACGTTGCATAATATCCGGACCTTCTAACTCTGGTAAAACAAATCTGATAATTAGCTTATTACAGGATCCTAGTGGACTATCCTTTAAAAATGTGTATGTGAATTCAAAGTCATTGNATACGTCTTTGAAATCGTTGTCTATCATTTGCCGCCTCTAACCATTCCCGCCCGTTTCTTGCTCTTTTATGTATATCATCACACTCTACTTCATAAATCTCAATCTTCTCCTTAAATCGAACCGATTTCATATTTATTCCAGTTAAAACACGTCATATATATTATTTGCATCGAGCCTGTCGATCTAGATAGCTTCATTCAAATTTCCCGCCAAAAGGTGGTCCTTGGAGAATGCTGCGCTCTGATTGATTAAATTTTAAAAATATAACAGTCCGTCAGGTAAATTTATTTTATTCATTAAATATATTATTTTTTTTTATTAAATGTATTATTCTTATTCATCGTCTGCGAGCGAGTTTCCTCTTATCTAATCTTCGCACATTCCCTACCGCATATTTCCTGCGATTCGTTAACGCGTCAACAACCGCCGCACTCGAAAGACCCGATTTAGTTCGTTTTTAACCGCTGCTGATTCCTCTAGTTCGTAAATCACGATATAAAAGAAAATGTTTAGTACAATTTCAAGTACAACGGTCTTCCTCTTCTTTCTTTTTATTACGACAACATTGTGCGATAGCGGGGAAGAAGAAGAAGGAGAAACAACCGTAGCAGTTACTGCATCACCTTCAGCTGAAACCTTAGAGATTACTAGGAGGAGGAACTTCCACAAAACAAGATCAACGTACAACAACTACAGCGATGAAAGATGCATCTTCGATCATCAGAGGTTCAGTGTCTTTAATATGTTTAAATATATTAGGGTTGATGGTAAAAAAAAATTTGAAGAAAAGAAATTGTGTTTTAAAATAAATATAATAATTGTATTTAAATTTTTCTATTTAATTTTCTAAAAATCCCTAGATCTCTAGTTACTTTTAATATCAACCTAATTTTTTTCCCCCCAAACTTTGGTTGGTACCCCTCCCTATACTTAATACATTGAGGCGTGACGTCTCCGCAGGAGCAGCAGGAGCAGCAGGAGCAACTTCCGCTCTAGAACCGGCTTCTAGTTATCACATGGCGATCCTGCCAGCAGAAAATCGAAAATTTATGAAAACGTAATTATGGGAACCAATCAATCTAAAGAAGAGAAAGAAATCATATTATCGCAAGCGTGAAACAGTGGTGGAACTACAGCAACTACTGGAACAATTTTTACATTATGGGAAGTTGGTATGGCATTTCTGGTTTTCGTTGTAATCTGCGCATTGGGATACATCATATGGAAAAAGTGTAATAGGAATATGGAAAGAAAAATCCGACGAGAAGTTGCGAGAAGTCATGAACTCCTTTCGCTCAATATCGGAAGTGCCCGGTGTGACGATAAATAAAATGTGATTTATAGTGTGAGTAAAAAACTTCATAATATTATGACAATCATAGAAGAATTACAATTATTGCTGGTAGAAATTAAATCATTTAAAACTAATATTTTAAAGGATAATAAAGAAAGAAGGAAAAATTTAGAATCCACTCAAAAACGTTTGAATGAATTAAATAAATTTAGAGTTAGGTTAGAATCATTAAATATAGAATTAAAGAGGGATACATCAAATGTTGATAAAATTGAAGACATTAAATATTATAGTTCAGGGATAGATAATATAGTTCTAGAAATTCAGGGTATTTTAGATGATAGGTTAACTATAAATAGTGAAGCTTTAGAAATAAGTATGGGGGAAAATTTTGATCTAAAAACAGCAGGTAGTTTACTTCCATTAATGGATGGAAAAGAGGAAACTACAAAACAATTAATAGATTCAATTGAATTATATTCTGAATTGTTAAATGCAGATGGTAAAAAACTTTTAATTAATTATGTTTTAAAAACCAGACTATCTGGCAATGCTAAAGTAAGGTTAAATAAAAAGTATGATACCGTTGAAACGCTTGTAAGAGATATAAGAGAAAATTTTACAACTCGAAAATCTGCCACTACTCTGTCCAATCAACTCCATAATTCCCTTCAACAGAGTAAAACAGTTGATGATTTTGGTAGGGACATTGAACAGTTACTTACTGATTTAACTTTTGCACAAGCGGGTGATGATGAAAATTTACTAAGTTCGTTACGCATTGTTAATGAAAAACTCGCGATAAATTCATTTTGTAATGGGTTGAAAAATCATGAATTAAGAACAATCCTTAAAGCACGAAATTGTAAAACCCTAAAAGATGCAATTAACGTTGCACTAGATGAGGAAATAAATAAACCCTCGTCATCTACTGTTTTTCAAATGAATGGTAGAGGTAATCAAATCAGAAGAACAAATTTTCGGAATTCTAGACCATTTAACGGGTACAACCGAAACAATCGAGGAAATAATAATTGTGTTCCTCATAACAATAATCGCGGATTTAATAATTTCAATAGCCACAATAACAACCGAGGTAATTATGCTGAATTTAGAAATAACGATCGTGGTAGTCAGAGAGGATCATATCGCAGTCGCGGTAACTTTCGAGGTCATAGAGGAATCTCAGGTTCTTTTCGTAGAAATCGCATAGAAAAGTAATATGTAGTATGAATGGTATGAATTATGTGCGACTGAGATATGGTACGGATGATCTATTATTCCTTTTGGATACGGGTGCAACATTAAGTGTAATTTTTTCAAAATTTTTACACAAAAATGAAATAATTGATACCACTAAACAAATAGATATAAGAGGAATTGCAGGTTCAGTAAAGTCAATGGGTTTAGTAATCATTCCTTTAAACACTTATAATTATAATATTACTCATGAATTTGTTGTTATGAATGATTTTGATTGTAGTGTGAATGGCATCATAGGATCGGATTTTTTTGAAAAATATCGTGCAACCATAGATTACGAAAAATTTTCATTTTCATTTTGGATTAATTCTTGTAAAATTATGATCAACTTAGAATCTAAAATTGACAGTTTTGTAACTATACCACCACGTTGCGAAGTTATAAAGTATTTCTCGACAGATTCTTCTAGAGACTGTGTGATCTAAAGGTGTCTTCACTGCAGGAATCATTGTTCGACCAGATTTGAATATGGTCCCAGTTAGAATTTTAAATACTAACGATAGGGAAGTTAAAATTAAAAACTTTAGACCATCAAATGTATGTTCATCAAAATTCGAGTTGCTAAATTTTGAAAACACTAATATAAATTGAAATAGAGTAAATAAACTTTTAGATTTACTTGATGTAAAACATTTAAACAAAGAAGAGATAGACGCAATTCATAAAATCTGTGCTAAGTATGCAGATGTTATCTTATTATGCAGATGATCCTTTGAGTGTTACGAATATTATTAAAGAAACTATTAAATTAAAAAAAGACGCACATCCAGTTTATGTCAAACCTTATCGGTTACCACAAGCTCAAAAAACCGAAATTGACTCTCAAATAAATAAGTTATTAAATGACGGAATAATTGGAGAAGCAAAGTCAAGTTGGTCCTCACCATTGCTAATAGTTCCTGAGAAAAACGATAGTCAGGGAAACAAACAATGACGAATTCTTATCGACTATAGGTTGTTAAATAAAAATATTAAGGTTGACAGATTTCCGTTACCTAATATTACTGAAATTTTTGACTCATTATCAGGCGCGTTATATTTTACCTGTTTAGATCTTTCTCATGGATATTACCAACTAGAATTGGAGCCATCTAGTCGAAATTGTACAGCTTTCACTGACAACAAAGGCAAGTTTCAAATGACTAGGCTACCAATGGGATTAAAAACTAGCCCTAGTTCATTTTCACGGGTTATGACAATTGCGATGTCAGGTTTAAACTATGATTCATGTTTTGTTTATATGGATGATCTTATAGTGTTCGGAAATAGTTTACAAAATCATAACAAAAATTTAATAAAAGTACTCAATAGGCTTAGAACAGTAAATTTAAAATTAAATCCAGTCATATGTCAATTTTTAGAAAAAAAATTGTTACATTTAGATCATATTATTTCTGCAGACGGAATTTCACCAAACCCTGCTAAAATAAATGCAATAAAAAATTACCCGATACCGAAAAGTGCCGACGAATGTAAGCGTTTTGTAGCATTCGTAAACTATTATCGTAGGGTTATTGAAAATTTTGCTGAAATCGCATATCCGTTGATTAAATTATGCCGTAAGTCTATACAATTTCGATGGGATGAGTGTTGTCAAAAATCGTTTGAAATTCTAAAAAATTCTGTAATAAACCCACCGGTTTTACAATGTCTTAATTTTTCAGAAACTAATAAGTTTATTCTTAGAACTGATATTTCTGGTTATGCAATTGGCGCAGTACTCTCAAATTCCGATGATAAGCCTGTTGCATATGCTAGTAGGTCATTGAATAAAGCAAAAATTAATTATCCAGTCATTGAGAAAGAACTTTTGGCAATTGTGTGGTCCGTAAAGCACTTTAGACCATATTTGTACGGTAGAAAATTTGAAATATTCACGTGACGTCACGGCTGGAACTGTGCATACTCCTGCTCCTTGCTGCTTTGATCCAGAACTCTCACGGTAAATTTTAAGCTGCGCCATCTATCGATCATCAGGTAAATTTTAAGCTGCGCCATCTATCGATCATCATTTATAGAAGTCTTCTTTTTTGCTTAGTTCCGCCTCCCGCCGCTAGGTGGCGCCACCGTAGACCGCGTGCCGTCGCGGCTGGAACTGCGCATACGCTTGCTCCTTGCTCCTGTGTTCCAGAACTCTCATTAATATACTACTCATACTACATATTACTACATCTGCAGAGTTATTCACGAAAAACCGTTGTTCGTTTTTTTATATCACTGGCTGTATTTTTATTGGTAACCTTAGGAATTCCCATCGCGTCAGATTCTGCAAAATACGCACGATTTCCAAGAAAAGAACCTGAGATTCCTCTACTACCTCGAAAGTTACCGCGACTGCGATATGATCCTCTCTGACTACCACGATCGTTATTTCTAAATTCAGCATAATTACCTCGGTTGTTATTGTGGCTATTGAAACTATTATATCCGCGATTATTGTTATGAGGAACAACATTATTATTTCCTCGATTGTTTCGGTTATACCCATTAAATGGTCTAGAATTCCGAAAATTTGTTGTTCTGGTTTGATTACCTCTACCATTCATTTGAAAAACAGTAGATGAAGAGGGTTTATTTATTTCCGCACCTAATGCAACGTTAATTGCATCTTTTAAGGATTGTTCTTAATTCATGATTTTTCAACCCGTTACAAAATGAATTTATCGCGAGTTTTTCATTAATAATGCGTAAAGAACTTAGTATTAATTGTTTTGTAGTTTCCTCTTTTCCATCCATTAATGGAACTAGTGTTATTGATAGGTAAAACTACACTGCTTGCAATATTAATTATTAAATTATTCAAACGGTTTACTGTGCGTGCTCATCAATTAGGCAACGCAGACTTCATCGTCTTTTACTTAATGCTACTTACGCTATATAGTAGATAGTTTTTATATCGCATCATAAACTGGAATCTCTAAGCTTTAATTTACCATGCATATCATATCATTATTCTTAAAAATCTACTCTATTTTTATATGATTAAAATCAAAAAATGTTAAATTAATTCTGTGATTTTTAAACATTTCTCTATAAAAAAGCATGCATCAAGAAACATAACAAAAAGTTTTATTATTTAAATTGTAACAGTTTTTATTAAATTAAATTTTCAATTGCTGTGCAGTCTACACGAAAATATTTAAGACATCGTCACAAAATTAATGATAGTCCTTCTCTGAATGTAAAATAACAAGCTCAGTTGCTTCGTCTTCATTATTGTCAATGTTCTTTACTTTAAAATCGCCACCGAAAATAATTTCTTTTCCAAGATTTTGTAATTAACCTTTATAATATTATTTCTTGTTGTTGTGCCTTAGCTTATAATAGTAATGATTGCCGTAGCTACTACCGATAAAAAGGTCTAACTTTGCTTTTATAGTGATATAAATAAAGAAAAAGTTTTTAAAAGTATCCTTTTTTTGTAACATTTAATATCCAACCATATAATACATAAGCCTTCTTGTATTCCTTAAATATGAATACAATTTTAACATTTTAAATATATATATACATTAGTATAATTTACTTGCATTTATTGCTGCTGTATGCGATAATTCACCGAATACAGGGAAAGATATAATGAGTACTCTTTGGCTCATACATAACAAGACTACAATATCCCTACGAGTCGAATAATCCGCATCATACCAATTTAGATCATAAATAGCTTCTGCCACACTACCAGCCTATTACAAAAAATACTTCAATATTATTTTATAACATATACATCTATTTATACCGCTGTAGTAAATCTTTGCCCAACTATATGAATTAGAATTAACGTTAAAAAAATTAGTGTGAAACATATCCAGGTTACTAAATCCATTTTCTAAAAATATTACTTTAATTAATTGGATTACCAAAAACAAATGAAAATTCATACCAAAGCCAATTTAGTCGTACACGTGGTCAAACAAACTAAAGTGTACATTTTTCAGGTACTACAAAGCTTATAACCAAGCTTCTAACAACTTTAAAATGTCTAAAATCACAGATACATTTCAACAATAAATAATATTTATCATATTAACTACAATACCTGAATATATCTTGATGATATAAGACCACCGGGCGCAAAATCTTAAAATTTCGTTGCTTATTTCGTGACAATGTTATATTACCAATCATCTCCTTAATATTTTCGGTATGTAGTATCAATTTTTCTACCGTATACCAATATAAAAGAAATACTAATAATGTTACGTTTACTGCAAAACCCATGCTATACATTTGAAATAACAACAATAAGGTTATTTGCCAATGCTTCAAATCAAATGGAAAGTAGTATTCCATTATTAAACAACTATTAGTATTTTTAAATTTAGCACAATTATCATTTAATAAATATATGTTTGTTATAATAAACATAACAAAGAATATCGCATAGCTAATCGCTTTTAAAATCAATTTTATATTTTCATCGACAGACTTAGTTCTTTCGGGAATACCGAATTCATTAAAGTCACTCAATAAATTAATCATTTCGAATAATCGACGTCGATGGCGCAATAACTGAACGTTACAACATATAGTAAATATTGCCACCGTAGGAAACACCATGTTAAATAAACACTTTTCAAAATTCGTCTTAAAATCTGTAAGAATTAAAAGGAAAATATATTTTCATTCGGTGCAATTCCGTAATACGTACTTATCATTTCTATTACGGTAGGATACATTATCCAAAGCAAATTTACGGTAATCAATATTATTGGGCCGAATCCTCGAAGCCCATGTGAAGTGGGCCAACACTGATATCTTCGAAAATATTTTTCGAGTAAGTAGAACCCAAGTGTTTTTGACATTTTGAAGTGCTCAACTCAACTAAATTGATGGGTGACACCATGACACAAGACACAGACAAGAAAGCCCCCACACGGTCGCTTTGCCGAGTACATACGTGGTCCTATGAAAAACTGAATCACGACAATTATGAGAATTGATTATTCCGTTCGTGC